GTACAGGTGATAATTTGCAGCAGCTTTTGTCTAAAATCAATTTACAGTTAAGTTAAGATATGGTTGGATATGAATAAATTATCATTAAACTTGGATAAGACCAAGTTTATGCTGTTTAGTAATTGCAAAAGCAAAACAAATTTGCAAATCCTAATAGATAATGTGTCGGTGGAGAGAGTTAATGAAATTAAGTTTTTGGGAGTGATGGTAGACCATAAGATTTGCAGGAAACCGCATATTAAATACATTCAGTCTAAAATATCCAGAAGTATTGCTGTTCTTAGCAAAGCTAAACATTTTCTAAATTATGCTGCACTACATATTCTTTATTGCTCACTTATTTTGCCTTACTTGAGTTACTGTGTGGAAGTATGGGGCAACACCTATAAAACCCTGCTGCGACCGTTACTGTGTACATTACAAAAAAGAGCCATCAGAATGGTTCATAAGGCAGGATTCCACGACCATACTAACTTATTATTTATACAGTCCTGCTTCCTCAAACTGCCAGATCTAGTAGAATTTCAAACTGCTATGCTGATGTATAAAGCTAGAAATAAACAACTACCAGATAACGTGCAAAAACTGTTTACTGTGGGGGGCTATGATTTCAGGGAAAACCTCAACTTCAGAACCTTGAGGGTTCGAACCACCATGAAGAGAATGTGCATTTCAGTCAGTGGTGTGACGGTCTAGAATAAACTTCAAAAAGACCTGAAGGAAAGTCCAAGCAAGACTCTGTTTAAAAAAAGACTCAAATTGGTGATTCTCAACAGGTACCAGAGCTGCCAACTTTTCAAAAAACCTTGGAGTGAGATTTTGTCGGGGGTGACCAAAATTTTGCCGCGCACGCAGCCACACACGTTGGTGGCTCAAATATCAGGAAATTGGAATTCATTTGGCGTAGTACCCATGTTGTACCCTGCATTCTGGTGGTTTGTGGGGCCCAAAGTCGTTGATAGGGGCGGCCTACTGGAGATGGACAACATTGGTTACATTCTGTGAAGCAAAGACATAGCTGATGGTCCACCCCCAGGACATTTTGGTTTAAGTAGATGTTATTTCATGCATTCTCATGGATTTTTGGGTGGTATGCCTGAACTTATTCTGATTTATGTTCATCTGCTCATGACTTGTTGGGCCTTCTAGACTTGAGCTGAACATTCAACCAGAAAACTATTGCTGTGCCTCAATGACTGTCTATGTACCACAATATAGCCTAATTAATAGACCTGTGTTTAAGATTAGACCAATTTAGGTTGATTGACATTTTGATTACAATGGTATTCAACTAATTCTTAACTGAAACCTAACCTATATTGTTAATAATTGTATTCTTAAGAGCACTTAATGATTTATGTTCAGCAAAAAATGACACAAGTTTAGTTAGGGAAAAATATTTTTCATTATCAAACAAAAAAGTGCAACAAATAAAGTGCTTAAAGTGCTTAAACAGTAGCCTTTCAAAGCAAAACAATGGATACACATAATATAAATACACATAAATAAAATAACAAAAAATGAGGTATTAAGAAGGAGATCAGAACATCAGATCCTTTGGTCTGACTGTTCTGGCTGTTCTGACAGTGTGTTTGTCTGTCTTTTCTGACTTGGCTGGTTCTTTAAATAATATAACAGACTTCCCTTTTGTCCTGGGCCTGGCAAAGGTCTTTTACGAGACATCTTTGCTCCCTTAAAGAATTAAAATGGTTTTTAATAACTCTACTCTCATTTACAAAAACATGCCTAATTCTATTGCACAAATTTCCTGTCTTTATGTTAAATTCTTTGGAATACATCTTACCTGTTCAAAGTGCTGTTTGGAAAATTCTTGAGAGGGTCTTTTTCTTTGGCCTGTAAATAAAAAGATAAATGCTATGTGAGCAGCCTTAATAAACAATGCTATGATGTTTTGAGCATGCAGTATACCAAGAGGTTAACAAGGTGCTCTCCTGCTGCTTGTTATGACAGCTGAGTTTACATTCACCACTCAAAATCACACGCACAAACACAACAAATAATTTCTTTCAAGATTTAAAGTTTAAGAGAGTGAGTACTTAATTGAACCACATGTCATTAACATACCTTAGTCTTTGCTCCTCCTGAGTTTCTCCCGCGGTTGTGTCTGTTTGAAAATCTTCTTCTGTTGCTAACTTCGGGACTCTTTGGGGTAAACAGGATGTCTATGCAGCGAATGGGTTTACAGATGCGCTCCTTAGCGCCATCTATTGTCGGGGAGTTTGAAAAGGAACAAACGCGCTTCGGCCCAAAATCAGATTTTTTTTTTTGCCGTGAGAAATTGGTTGTGTGGCGTGAGTGCGTGTGAAAACATGCAAAAGCGTGTGTCACACGGCGAAACCGTGAGAGTTGGTTGGCCTGAGGTACTGTGACGAAGAGAGAAGGTGATTGGTATAACTACTCAGCACTATATATATGTTATATTGCATTTAGTATATATAATATATATGGTATATCATTATTATTATTATTAGGGAGGCTTGCGTTGCTGACGCAAGCCTAGAAAAATGGCTCGACACACGCAAGGACGCAAGGAGGTGTGAAAAGCGGCGCAAGGTTCTGAAAACGCAGAAGCATAAACTAGGCTTAAGAGATACCTGGGCATAAAGCCTGTGCCATCTTGGCATTAGGATGATGTTAAGTTTAATAAAACACAACAAATAGAACATGCGTTTCCCTGATTTCTTAGAGTATATTATGCTCATGCTGAAACTATGTTTGGGATTGATTTTCATATCATTTCCGGTTGTTGGTGTGCCGTGAGATTTTTTCTGTGTCTTAAGTGTGCCTTGACGCAAAAAAGGTTGAAAAACACTGCATAAGAGTATGTGTCGTTCTGGGTGCTGGGAAGGAACGGCGGTGGGTTTGTGCGCGACAATAAGCGGAGTGCCGATTATCACACTAGGGGGCGAGTGAGAGCAGCGGGGCGGGGCGGACTCAACGCGAGGGGCGAGCGGGCGTGAAATGCAGGGACGTGTTCCAAGTAGTAAAACAAAGAGGAAGACGATAATTGCACTGCTATGGCAACGCTATCTGTTGCTAGGAACTACGGCTTGGAAAAGGGGTGGGGGATTCTTAGACGCAACCAACGGACGCGAGGAGATTCTGACCCGCGACCAGCGGAACGTAGATCAGCAATATGAATCAGTATGGTCGGACTTATGTGTGCGCAGTTACGGAAACAAACGATGTGGCTCGCAATACGAAATAAAACAGGCAAACGGATCTCGCGGCGGAGACCCGGGAAAAGCGATCTAAGATCAAAAAGAAAATAAGGAACTATTTTGACCATGAGATATCATTCAACAGCGTAATACAGTTGGCGCTTTGACTCCCTTGCAGCAAAATGTCACAGTATTAAATCAACAGGAAATATTACGACATTTGCAGGTACACATTCAAACATAAATCAAAGGTAGCGGATTCGTTGATCCGGACTATATCGTACCACGTTATGACTGAACAAATCAAATAAACATCAAGTTTATATAAACACGCTAAATTAGTCTGCCCAGAAAACCAGTCTCTTACTGTTTGATGGGCTAGATCGACGTAGCGAACGGTCGATGGTTGGTTATCAACTTCCAGCTGACTGAGGAAAGCTTTGCCTAGGGAAACTCAGTGGGCAAAGGCGATTTGGAACTCGTTCGGAACAGAGGCGGCGCGGGGGAATCAGAGAGCAGCTGTCTCTCCAGTCCTCCGGGGTGAACAGGAATAAAATCAAGAGGGCGAAAGGGAAAGCGGAGATGGAGTGGAGGCAAGAGTCTTGAGTTCGTCCAGCGAGATTAAGACTGAAACTTGGGAATTGGAGGGAAAAGAAAAGAAACAACGTTGTAGTGTCTCAATCTATTACTAACGGAAAGTTAGACAAAAGAGATCGATCCTTTGGCAATCTCTTTTTATAAAGTTGAGGTCCATAAATCAATGTCACTGTCCTCGGCCAATGGGAGCTCTCTGTGTTCTTTCGTACGTCCTCTTTTTATGAGCAAGGGGGTCTAGACCCACACAAGGCTCCTGTTATCAGCCCCTGGCATCAGGCCACGGGGGACCCCTATGTGTTTGTGTTTTTCCTTTGTCCTCAGTGAAGAAAAACGTGGTGAGGTTTATTAGCAAGGCGGAGGGCCCAACAGCACGCTGTAGTGCTAAAGATGAAGTTATACTCACAGAAAGCCACAGCCAGTCAATGTCCATTTGCCTGCATGTTAAAATCCCGAAGATCCCCAGCAGGAAAAAAAAATGTTTAAAGGCTGGTACAAGACAACATTGGTATTTATAGTTAATATCCCCATTCCTTTCAACTGTACCTGTTGTGAATTATTATATAACTCAACCGTTTAAATAATATCGAGACTTTCAGTTTATTTCAATCAGGAGAGACTCGTTCTGCAAAATCAATCCTTTTATAGGTAACAGGAAATAGTGCAATCTTTTTTCTTCGATTGGACTCTATCCTCGACCCGGATAATCAGGGGAGTTCTGCTCCTACAGAACCCACCCCCTGGAGTCCAGATACTGCTGGTGATGTTTCTGGAGGTGGTGACAGAGGTTTATGTTCAGTTTGTTGACTGAAACTTCTGGGAAGGATTTGCGTTTCATTATGGAACACCACTAACCACTCACAATATAAGGTCATGCCCATATTATGGATTTTATCTTAACTAGGTTGGTCATTTAAAGAAAACAATTAAGTGTGCGTATGACACTATACCATACAATTGTCAGACAACTAATGTTTCTAAATGACAATGATGCAAATGATGCTGCTGTGAAAAAGATGAGCTTCTAATGGTAAGGTAAATAAGTACAAGGAAGGACAAAGTGCAGTCCATTAGAACATAAGAGCTTCTTATAATTATTCTTGTGAGAGACTACATTCCTCCAGCTCCTTAATTGTTCTTTTCAATGAATCCAGCTCATCTCTAAATTGTTTCATTTTCTCTTCCTCCACATTCCCTTTTTGTCTCCCTTCGAACTCCCTGCAGATGAATTTAAAGGCCTGCTGAAGCGCTTGCCCACTGACCGCTTCCTGAACGTGTCAACCATTGCCAAGTTTTGGTTGGCCGACTTGTCCCTCCAGAAGCGCTTCGCCCAGTTGGAGTCCAGCACTGCCTTGGTTCTAGGGAAAGCCCAGAAGGTCGTCAGGAAACTGTTCACCCTGAGCAAGCGTTGCCCGAAACACCCTCTCATCAGCCTGCCCAGAGAGAGGTAACCCACTGATATAATGGGAGCATTCCTCCTGTGATTTGGATTTGCTCAATAATTAATTGGAATGTTAAAATTTGAACGAGAAATGGAGCCAGCATTTTTTTCCGTATTCCTGCTGAAAAACAGAAAAACAAACCAATCTAAAAACTGAAAAAGAAATTGGTTTTAGCTGGAGTTTTAGTTGCTACCTTTTGCGGATTCATTACAACTGAAGGCTCTCCCACAACCCCCCTTAAATTGGGTATACTGAGGAAAAAACCTGGAGCCATCTATATAGAAAGAGCTTACGTTTGAATTTGGCTTAAACCCAAAAGTTATACACATGGGAAAGGTGGAAACACGCCAGTGGGGTAAACAATTTCTCCCTTTAAGCCAATTCCCATGCAAAATATTTATTTGTAGATTGCTGGCCTTGTGGATTCAGCTTTGGAATGTCTGTGCTGTGAACAGATTATACACAGTTACCGCGTCGTCTTAAGAATCTGTTGACAGCAATCTGTAGGCCAAACTCTAAAAAAGTATATTTTTAGGGGAATAATCAAAATGTGTAAACGTTTTGGAAGGCACAGCTCGGTGTCATTGTCAAGCTTCGAACTACAATTCCATTTCAAGAGAGACTGTACGGACAATGCTAATTGCTGTATAGAACTTCCTATACCTTGCCACTAAATAGTGATGTAGTAGATTTTGAGGATTTGTCCAATCTGGTTCTAATTCTTTGTGGTTTTTCATACCACACTGTGACTGCAGCTGTTGTTGAAACCCACATCTACTAATAATTAGAAGGGAGAGTCAATTCTAAAGCCACGATTGACTCGTTTAAACTAAAACACCCTTGTAAGCTTCACTCAGCCGTCGTTCCCATTGCAGTTTTGTTGCTGCTCCGACGGGGAAATTGATAAAGCAGGTGAGATGAGAGACGGCGGAGCATGAGATAATGTTGAAGAGAGATATGACGGCAGGTTGGAGACAAAGAGATGGAGAGGGATGACGGGTCTAGTTACCGGTTGCAGAGGCCTTTGTGTGGTAAGGTAAGCGGTATTGTGACATGCTATAATCAAGTCCTCTCCTGGACTGACAGACTGGCAGTTGCTCAAGGCAGACTTCAATTTCCCCGACAGTCCTTTCCTCTGCCTCACGTTCCGTCATCAGAGGGCCTTTCCCTCTCGGTCTCAAACCCGCCACCCAACAGTTATAACCCAGTTTGCAATGAGGTACAGACAACATTGAGTTATTAAGAAATTAGTGAGATACTAAAACAAAAAATAACTCGAACAAGAAATAAATTGAAATACTACACAACATGTTATTGTTTACTACAATTTAAAAAAACATTTTTACAAGCTTCTTAGTTGTAATAAACAGATCAGTCCGTGACGCAAAAAATGTTGGGGACCTCTGCTTTAAACAACATATTGACTATATGGTTTGTTAAGTCAGTGTCCACTTTAGTATAAACTTACCACAACCGTGAGTGTTTGATAAGCTCCCAGCTGCAGACTCTATTATTATATCTACTAGATATTGATGTTTTGATTTAACCTTTTCATTTAAGCTTAATATGTTTTCTTTTGCCTTGAAACATCATGAGGTCAGGACCTAACACTTGAAACTGTCAACAGTCAACTTTAGCCTAGTGTGTTCTCTCCTTGGTTTGGACATTCTATGTGTTACGCCCCTGCAATGGGGAGAAATAATCACGAGAGTGATTTTATTTGTGTTTCCTCAGTAAAAGTATTTACCAGAATTTATTACATACATTTATAACATAGACCATAACAGAACAATCACCATCTTTACAGTTCTGCATTATAGACAAGTAAATGGTAAATGGCCTGTACTTGTAGCCTATAGCGCTTTTCTAGTCTTCTGACCACTCAAAGCGCTTTAACACTACATGACATCATTAACCCATTCACACCCATTCATACACTGATGACAGGAGAACCATACACAGTGACACCTGCCATCAGTAACTACCATTCACACACTGTAGTCGCAGCTACAGGAGCAATGTTGGGTGTCTTGCCCAAGGACACAACGGCATGCGGGTTAGCAGGGCCTGGGATCGAACCGACAACCCTCTGATTGGAGGACGACCGTGCTCCCCACTCACCCACAGTCGCCACAAGTGAATTCCTAACATGGCTGCGTCACTTGGTGACCTTACAGTTTGAACCTAACTAGCAAGCTAACAAGCTAACGCCACATATACTGCTAAGCCCTGCTTGTTATTAACGTCAACCATGTACTTATTAAGCAATCATTCCAATCTTTTCACAACTGTGCAACAACATTAACATACCTGCAATGGGGAGAAATAATCACGAGAGTAATTTTATTTGTGTTTCCTCATTTACTAGAATGAGGAAAACCCGCAAATTCCGAGACACTGCAGGCGAAGACCAAAGCAATCGATCCCAGTGTAGCTGATGTAGCTACTGAGCAGATCGAAAGGATTACAGATAAATGATTAATTCCTTTTTTCACAAAAATAGATGAATAGACGAATGGGCTCTTTAAACTGATAACAGATCAATATTTGCACTTGTCACATATGCACAATACATTACTTTGGTTTTCTTTCTTCCCTCTGCAGGCCCGTCGGTTTTTGGTTGAGCAGGGCTCAGTCCTTGCTCTACTGCAATGAGCATGGCGTGCAAGGCTTCTTCTCTGAGGAAGGGAAGAGCTGTAGCTGCCCAGCAGAGCAGCCCACCTGCCAAGGAGCTGTTCCCTGTGTCATTAGCACCACCTCCACCTCTTGCTCCTCCTGCGCCGCTGACAACGCGACCCGCTGCGGGGCCTGTCACCACGGCAACCTCCTCTATCTCGGCTCCTGCCGGCCGAGCATCGCCACATCCCTGGACCACTACCTGAACTTTGACTTGGACATGCCGGATGCTGAGGTTCTTGAATGTTTACTGTTCAGAAAATACAGTACCTTTGATAACGTAAAAGAATAGAACAATGAAAATGTATTTACTAATTTTTTTGTGTCCGTAACTTACTTAACATATAACAGCAAATAAAAGACACAACGGCTTTGTACAATTTAAGTGGGAAAAGAAAGTTCAGTCCAGTATAACTTTCAGTTTAACTGACAAGGGAGTTTCATATATAGACCTGACTGAGAATAACCACTAACAAACACACATAATGTGTAAGGTGACTTTATCATCCATAGTTGGCTTGTCTTATTTAGAATGAAGTCGATACTTGTTTCTCTTTAGTCCAGTTTGGTTTCACAGAGCACAAATGAAAGCGGAGCAAACAACTATTTCTCAAGGGCCATGTGCAAGGACTGAATTAGTCTTGTCTCGAGAGCAGTGCAAGTCAGTGGTCTTACTCTCATTGTGTCAATCTTAAAATTGACCCCCTAGCTGCAGTTAGGTCAGATTAGGTTCAATCAATCAATCTGTTCGAGGGGTTGCTAAAATAAAAACGTCTCACAAGCGATCTCGGTGTGGTTGTTTTGGTCTTCACAACTACCCAAAAGGACCACTCCAGGCGTTGAACCAAAGTACTCAAGACAAGTGTTAGTGCACTTGGGTACGATCATGTTCTCAAAGCAATCAAATCCCATAAGAGTTGGCTTGAAAGCGATCCACCTAGGTGTGTGTACTTTTTTTCGGGGGGTCCACATCATAATAAGATTATTCCATTTACAGCTGCAACAGCAGAGATTAAATGTTGGCCTGTGAAAGCATACTCAGTGATCTGTATAGTATTATATGTCTACTTATACAGTGAATGTGATCTCACATTTCCTAAACCTCCAGGTGAAGTACCTGCTTCAGCGACTTGACAGCAGAATAGAGGTGCATGCCATTTACATCAGCAACGACGTCCGCCTGGGAAGTTGGTTCAACCCCGCCTGGAGGAAGAGAATGTTGCTGACCCTCAAGAGTAACAAAAATAAGTCCAACCTCATCCATATGCTGATGGGCATTTCTTTCCAGATATGCTTGACTAAGAATTCAACACTGGAGCCTGTGCCTGCGATTTACGTCAATCCTTTTGGGGGAAGTCACTCAGAGAGCTGGTTCATGCCAGTGAACCAGCCTGACTTCCCCGACTGGGAGAGAACTCGACTTGACGCTGTCGTCACAGCACAGTGTTACAACTGGACACTGACCATGGGCAACACATGGAAGTCGTTCTTTGAAACTGTGCACATCTATCTGCGAAGCCGCATACTTACAGATGATCCGTCAGTGAACGAAACTCTCTTCTATGAACCGCTAGACCTTGACGACCAGACGTCCAATCTTGGGTATATGAAGATCAACACACTCAAAGTGTTTGGATACAGTCTGCACTTTGACCCCGAGGGCATTAAGGATCTCATCCTCCAACTGGACTACCCTTACACGCAGACTACACAGGACGCCGCCTTTCTGATGTTGTTGGAGATGAGAGACCGAGTTAACAGACTGTCTCCGCCAGCACCGCAGCCCCTGGACCTGTTCTCTTGTCTGTTGCGCCATCGCCTCAAGCTGTCTGCTGGAGAGGTGGCACGCATTAAGGACTCTCTGCAGATATTCAACTCTAAGCTTCCCAATGTTTCAGCTGAACCTGAGCTGGCCCAGCTTTGTACCTAGCTAGCTTAAGCATACAAGTCAGGTTCCAGAAATTATGCTAGAAAGTGGAGTTGCTGCTAGACTGAACTGGGAAGGTACAGCAAAATTATCCACTTGGCCCCTAAGCCTCTGGATTTAAAGAACATCAAACGCTTTAAGAAAAACTCAGCAATCTGCCTTCAGTTACTCTTGGCAGGTATTCTGTTGTCATATTTCTGTCAGAAATTCCAACCAGAATTCTTTGATGAACAGTGAGTGATTTTGTGGACTTTTGAGAGAACAGCTGGACCCTTTCATAAACTCTACTGTTCAAGCCTGGATAATTACTTTTGCTATTGCTGCCCTGCTTTTGGCAAACTGTACGACTGGATTACATTCTGAGACTTCCTGAAACAGGCAGTAATTTTTTAATTTGGAACATCAAGCTAAATAAAGTATACATCTGCCTTGTAAAGATAAAGATGGTTTTGATATGTAAAGAGGATCTTAAGGGGTCAAAACTGAGTAAATTTAAAAGAAGGTTCCCCCTTTTCTAACCGTATTGTGTTTTGGCTACAGATCAATCTCGTGGGATGGGGAAACTCGGGATAATATTATATATGTGGTAAATGAGTTCTGTCATGCTTAACAGTTTAACATTCGATAATCCTGAACCCCGTTACTGTCTTTGAATATTTATTTTTAATCCCTGCCTTCCATTTTATCTGGCATTTGAAAATGTGTAATTACAGTATCTATGCTTAACATTCGAGTGAGAAGCCTGTTAGTGATGTTCTGTCCTTGGTGGCGTGTCTATACCAAAAGAAGGTGAACACATTTTTGGAAAACTTGGAACTTTGGAAATAGCGAACTAAGTGTTGAGTTATTATTTTGTGAGGCGAAAATTGTCAAGAACTCTTCTGATTTGGAAATGAAAAGGTCTGAGGAAATAGCGCTGTAAATAAAGCTTTTCCTGTGTGGACAAGTGCACATTGCTTTTTAGATAAGAGTGCAAAGACGAAAAAAAATATTTATAACAAAAGCAAACTCATGCCTTATATGGAGATTCAATGTTAAGATAAGAAGCACATTTAGTTTCTGTTTTTCATTTGCCAGCAGAGGCTGTATTTTGCTTTTTATATTTCAATATTTCTACCAAGACAGAACATTCTCCAGAATACGTAATAATGTAGCCTTTTCCCGCCATGTAAATGCTGGTCACTTTTTGCAGCTAATTGTTTTGATTTGGTGTTGTGAAACTTTTACGTTACTGGTCCCACTACACACTCCAGTTTGAGAAAATCTAAGCTACTGATTAAGTCTGCTTGATCTAATTATGCTTTTAAAATAATTTTTCAATGCTTTGGTTTAGGCTCAGGCCATAGAAAAAAATTGGTTTATTTTCTTTAATTGTCAGCAGCCAGCTACCGCAGCAACTGGGGCTACAAGACATCTGCAGGTTAGCAATTGTACTCTTGAGAGCTGCCAACTCACCGGAATGATACTTGATATGCTTTTACATTTGCTTCACTAATTTCTCACTGAAAGTCAGTAAACCTTGTATGTCATTTTCAGCAGTTCTTCTGTGCTCAGCTTGCTTAAGTAAAAATTGGTTTATCTATTTGTGATCTTGTTCCTTTTTTGCTTTAAAAAAAAAGTTCAAATTTGTTTCTTGCGTCGAGACACAATCGGATTTACATAAATATTATTGCGCAATGCAAATGTATGCAGGGGGAGGGGGAAATATGGTGTTCATATAAAAAGGGGTTATGCTGCTTCTAACATATAGCGTGTTAACAGTCCAGTCAACATTAACTTTAAATATAAGTGTAGGCGTGTGAAATTGAGTGACACCGGACACCACACTATATTTAGGGGTCTTTATTTCTCAACTACTCTTTTGTTAGAGAGCAGTGTTAAAAGTGTTCAATTTTATGAGTACAAATGAATTTCAGATTTCGATTGTCCTTTTTTAACATTTCACAAATAAGCTTATTTATATTTTCTGCACACAAATAACTGCATTGATAACCCTCCAGCTAATATAATAAAAGAAAGAAAACAAACAGTACCACACAGTTACTTCTGAAATCAAACTCTTAAAATAATAACAGAATGCATAGCATGGTGAAAAGTTCAGAGCGTCAAGCCTCGTAGCGCTCACATGAACGCTCAACACATGAACATCTGAAAACATCAGACCAACCAAAACAACATGGTGCATTTAGAATCAAATGTAATTTGTACAGAGATGGCATTCAATATGTATTTACTCACAAAACATCCACCGCTCCACAGGACAGGCACATGCAAAAGAACGAATTTCACTTCCTGTTTCCCCCCGTCACATTTCGCTAGCTGTCTCAGGAGTACAGCGCCCTCTAGTGGCCTTAGTGGTGAACCTAGTTTTCCCACTGGGCTACATAAGTTTAATCGACACAAATTACCAGCAAAACTCTAAAGCACCTGGTTAACTTCTTATAAATATGTCACTATGTCAATATACTGTATATGCTAATAAAGCATACAACTTTCCTCTATATTGCTATATTGCTTATAGTTAGGGCTGGCTCAGGTTAGCCCGGACCAGCCCTTAGTTAAGCTGCTTTAGTTTTAGACTGCCGGGGGATACACCAAGCTCCTCTCTCACTCTCTTTCTACCATAATCCACGTTTTATTAATGCACATGACTAATTCATAGTTTGTGATTTCTCCCCTAGCAGGTCTCCGTAGATTGTAGTTCCTTCTAGACCCTGGTCCTGACACCTGCAGTGGCCCTGCTGACACCTGCTGCTGCCATCATCCTCATTATTTTAAATATTAATCATATTACTCATATTAATCATCATAAATCCACATTATCCTTTTTTTGGGGAGTTTTTCCTGTGTCGATGTGTGGGTTTTGGGACAGAGGATGTTGTATGTGTACAGACTGTTTGCGATTTTGGGCTGTACAAAATAAAATCAATTGATAGTCCACACAGTGAGACAAACAATTAAATAAATAAACAGTTTCAAGCAGGTGATCCCACATGAGAAATATTTATGGCGGCAAATCACTGTCAAAATTCGAGAGCGCAAATCAGGTTTATGCGCGCGCGTAAATCAAACATCCGTGGCAAAAGTCTGTCTTGCGCGAGATATTTGCTCCTTGCTTGCGAGGCTAATCTCTGCTCGCGTTCAAAGGTGTTTTCTACGCGTTCGCTGTTGTTCTTTTTGACAGTAAGGGGGCGGAGCCAGCCATCATGGTATCTCTACATCTAATTGGTTACAAACCCCGTTTTTGGATTGGAGTTATGCATTCACAGAACTATAGAAGCCCATTTCCGCTCTAAAGAAAGGGGATAGAAGGTCGAAATTATGAGATAAAACGTTGTCAAAACACAAACGACACCTCTCTGTAACCGTAGTGGACCGTAGATGACAACCAGCTACAACCATAATTTACCGGTCCTTGTACGTGTTGATAGTCCCTTTTACCGTAAAAACCAGAAAACGAAAACACTCGTTTTCCGTTTTTAATCAAAAACGGTAAAACGGAAGTGGGCGGTCGTTTTCTCGTTTTAAATCTAAAACGGTAAGTTTTAGATTCGTTTTTCCTTTAGAACCAAAAAACGAGACAAACTCACAACTTTTTACTCCGTTAAGCCTAGTTTATGCTTCTGCGTTTTCAGAGCGACGCAGACGCAAGAGCCCCTTGCGTGTCCCTTTCGTCGCTTTTCACACCTCCTTGCGTCCTTGCGTGTGTCGAGCCATTTTTCTAGGCTTGCGTCGCTTTCAACGCAAGCAACGCAAGCCTCCCGCAGCGCACAAGGCTGCGATTGGTCTGCTAACTACATCCTTTACAGAGTCTCACATTTTGCATTCATAGCGCGATACCGCCATTGTTAAAACGAAGAATGTTTACGAGAGAACGGATCAGATTGAAGAACTTTTGTCGGAAGAAATGCGTAAATATGACCGCTTATACAACCCGTCATTGGCGGGTTGTAGAAGCGGGTTGGATTCACGGAGGGAAATCGCCGCAAACGCCGGACGAGAGGTGCACAAAGTTGTGGAGGAAAATACGGGACAAATGTGTTTGTGTAGAAAAGCAGCAGTGGCGATGCACGGGGCAATAAAGTCTATGATAAATAAATAAACAAATAAATAAATAGACGTGACTCTCTAGGTCGTCTTCAACAAAAACACGTTAATCCGCCTGTTGTTCTGGCGGTGAATTGCTCTGCAACACGCGCAAGCCTTTTAGAACCATGAATTGAAACGAGTGCGTCGACGCAGAAGCATGCGCCAGCCTTTAATCCCTTTTGGAGTTTTGCCCATAAAACGAAAATACGAAGCGGAGCTGCTAAACCGGAAGTACGCAGATTTTCACAGTAAGAGTTAACGGCAGTAACGTTTATGCTAGAAATCCGCCTGGGATGCCAGCGTTAAAAAGTTAATTAATGGATATAAATAAATAAATCCTGGTCCGACGGGATGTGTTAGCACCAATAGTTGACAATACACACACTCGTTGCTCATGGATCAGATATTTACCTTTCACGCATTGTGTCAGTGAAGGCAGAGCAGAGACAGTTCAAGGAGACGCAGAGTAAACGTGCGGATTAATGTATTTAAACCATAGATTTACTTATATTTAACTGTGTTCACGTTATTTATGACAGTCATTACAGATGTATTTAATGCTGGACTTTTTAGCATGGACCACGCATTTGATGGTGGAGAAACACGGATAAGACCGCTAATCTTACATCATCCTTGACAGCGGTGCGGAGGTCAGTGACCTCGGCAGACCCGTTTCCAGCCAGCCGTCCTGCAGCAGGTGTGCAACTGGCCTCCATCGCCAACCATCAAGTGATCTGTTTGAGGGTTACACTTTTACCGCAGCCCGTCTTCCCCGCAGGTACATCCGGGTCGCTCCAAAGTCACGGTTAGTCTTGTTCTCAGCCACCTGCACACAGAGAGTGGAAAAGGACAGAGTTTTCAAAAAGTGCCAGTTGCATGGGGAATGTTTGGAGCGTACACCTACCGATACAACGACCAGTGGCGGGATGGTGCAGGACAAGTAGCCGTAAAAGGCGTCCCTCCGATAGGCCGCATTGAGCGGGAGGAGAGAGATTGTACAGATGAGGCAGAACACGGCACGTGTCCGTGAGCGCGCACACCAGCGGACACAGAGCGCGCGTCCGCCCGAAACAACTGTAGACATTTTAGCCACTACGTCCATCATTAATTAAAGATTACATGAACGTTGGCTTGATTAAATTATATTTTTCTAAATGTCCAATGAAACATTAATAATGATAGGACTTTATATACTATTGTTCAACAACTGCTCCATCGGCTGGTTATCGGGATTTAAGCGGCTCAATGGTTAGCTGACGATACTTCAACACGGTACTATTTGCCATATTGGAACAACTGCATTAAACTAACCTGATATATTAAAATGACAACAACTTTCTTTACATTTACTAACTGGGTTGAATGATATTTTTTATGGATCCACTCACCTCAGGCTCTCTTTCTTTTCCGAGCTGTCGACTCGCGTTCATCGTCTCGCTGGTTAACGATATTCATCCCCCACTTGGTTCGCTGAGCCGACGTACTGCGTGATGAGGTCAAGGTCACGTTTGTGATCCGGCTGTTCAGAACGTATTAATCCGCCGCGTGCTTTAGGTTAGTTCGCCGTCTGGTATTTCCAATGGTTTGTGATGGAGCTGAGCAGACAGTTTGCGACCTGGTACAGTCCGATTATACATAACTTCAAGCCTCATTATAATTTACATGAATTATTAAAAAGTCACAAAATACAGAGTTAAACAATAAACCTGTTTTGTAGTAGCAGAATGTATGTATTTGTATTTCTGTGTGCTGTAGATTGTGACAATTTAATTGTTGAAATTGGATTTCTAGCATACACAGGTTCCATTGCGTTGACTCTTACTTTGAAAATCGACGTACTTAAAAGGGATTAACGGAGTAAAAAGTTGTGAGTTTGTCCCGTTTTTTGGTTCTAAAGGAAAAACGAGTTTTCTAGTTTTTACGGTAAAAGGGACTATCAAAACGTACACGGCCCTTTATCATCAACTTTCAAGCCAGGAGAAACGGTATGAAGCTGAAGGAGAATGATTTGTGTGGTGATATTCAGCTACTGTAGCTTGGACATATTCTGTAATATCTTAGGTTACAGTTAAGATAGCCTGTATCCTATGCAATAGATAATTGCTCATCAATGTTAATAGATGTCTTTGCTGTTGTGGTTTTCACTGCATGAAAAGTGAGATTTTCGTCCCCGTAAACGCCCGGAAATCTCCCTAATTTCCGACAATTTGCAACCCGCGAACATCGCGTTTGTCTGTGCCACAAATTGTCGGAAACGAACCATGACGTAGGTGGAGAGCTGGCGGAGGTGCGAATGCCCCGAATTAGCATATGAATGCAGCGAAACCGCGGGTGGCCGAGCCGAGCGGGCTTGAATATCCTTGCTCCTTATTGGATGAAACCACAACTCACTAACAAATAAAATCACTCGTGATTGGCAGCAAAACCACACATGGGCAGACCAGGCTTGAGTTTCCTTGTTCATGATTGGATGAAACCACAACTTTCAATCACTCGT